ACCATATTTTTAAAAAACATATTTAAATATTACAAACAAAAATTAAAACCCAACAGATTATATACTATTACAACAAAATTAAACCATATTAAAAACAAAATTACAACATTTTAAACAAAAACATTTTAATTAAAACATATTATATACAATTAAAACCCTATTAACATATTACAAAATTACCAACTATTAAAAACATTTAAAAACAATTAAAACATATTTTTAAAAAAAATATTAAAACAAAATAATTCCCAACATATTATTTTTAAAATTTCCCAAAAACTTTTATCATTTTAAAATACTATTACTTTACAATTATCATTTTAAACATTTTAAAACTATTTTTACAATTAAAAATATTTAAACCATTTACAACTATTAAAAGTTACAACATATTATATACATATTACAACATATTACAACAAAATTTTTACATTTACAAACTTACAAAAATATTAAAATAATCATTTACACATATTCCCAACATTTATCCTATTACAAAACACATTTAAAAACAATTAAAAACATATTTATAAAAAAATTAAAAATATACCTTTTAAACAACATTTTTACAAAAATTATTACAAACCTTTTAAAAATATACATTTTAAAATCAACTTTAAAAACATAATTAAAATTTTAAACCCTATTATAACATTTTTAACCCCAAATTACAAAAATTAAAACCTTTTACAACAATTAAAAAATTTTATACAACTTTACAACATTTTTATATACATATTATAAAAAATTTATTTTACATATTAAAACATTTCCCAAAAATATTACAACATTTTAAACCAACATATTACAACATTTAAAAACATTTAAACATTTTTATATACATTTAACATATTAAAAACATATTAATTTTCCAATTTTAAATAATACTATTAAAAACATTACAAACATATTACAAAACATATTATATACATATTACAACATTTTTCCAAACATATTAACATTTTTATACATAGTAAAAACATATTAACCAAAAATATTATATACATTTAAAACATATTAAAAACATATTAAAACCCAAAATTAAAATAATATTAAAACCCATATTAAAAAAAATTTTTATTTTAAAACTTTACAACATATTACAACATATTATATACATTTACAACATTTTTAACCCATATTATATAAAAAATTAATTACAAACAATTCCCAAAAATTAATTACCAAAAAAATTTTTAAACATATTATAACATTTTACAACATATTAAAACCATATTACAACATTTACAATATTTTAAATAACATATTACAAAAAATTACAACATAAAAAACCAAACAATTATATACATATTACCCCATAAAATCCCAATATTACAACATATTTAAAACAATTAAAACCCATTTTAAAACAAAAAAATTTATTTTTAACCCCATTTACAAAACAAAACATTTTAAAAACATACCCCCACAAATTACAATAATATTAAAAATATTCAACATATTAAAACCATCCCTTTTACATACATATTATATCATATTCAACATATTATATACATTTACAAAACATTTATCCCTATTCCCTTACATATCACATACAATTACAAAAACTTCCCAACATATGACATACATATTACAACATTTAAAACATATTATACATATTCCTTTACTTCCCCACATACATATTCCCAAAACAACAACATTTTACATAATTTACAATTACAACATTACAAAATTTTACATACTATTAAAACATCCCAAATTTTCATTTTTATTAGAAATATTACATACATATTACAACATTTACATAATATTACAACAAAAAAAAGCTTTTTTCTGGGGAATTTTTGGGGGCAAAAAAATTGTTTACACCCCGGTTATGAGCATTTAATGTTTTTTGCATATTTCCCCTTAGGGTCGCCTACTCTGTTAAGTGTGGGGTTTTCAATAATTAAAATTCCCCTTGCACTCCTACTAAACAACGCAATTTTTTTAAAACCCCCCGGGCCCCAAAAGGGGAAAGTCTTTTAAAACCCTTTAGAAAGAAAAATGTAAGGGTCAAATTTTTCATTGAGGGGAAAAAATTTAAAAGGGTGTCCCAAAAAAACCATCTCGTTACGTTTTCCCCCCCTGGGTTTCCCCTCCCCACCAGATTTGGTAGTGAGTGGAAACGCCAAACCGATACTTCAAAATTTTACTCCCGGTGAAAAAACTGTCTCCTTGTTCCCTCCCGTAGTAAACACTGAACACTGGGGAAACCCAACACTTGATAACCCAAATTAAAATTTGGAAAAACCTTCTAATAGCTATACCTAACCTTGATTTTAGTGGAAACCTTTCTTGCTTAAGTTGCTAGCTTATTAAATTAGCCAGCGACTTTTATCTTTTAAACGAAAAGCAACAGTCAGCCAGCAAACACCATAAAAAAAAGTCCACTAATTTAAAAACAGGGCCAATATTTAAGGTATTAAGCCCCCGGGGGACGCACACACAACCACACACCCCACACACCCCCACACACAAACACACACACAAACAAAACACCCAACAAAACACACACACCAAAAAAACCCACAACACATACCCCCACACACCCACAAAACCCCACCACACACCACCCCAAACACAAACCAAACACCAAACCATACACAAAAAAACACCCCACACCACACACCCAACCCAAAAAACAAAACACACCCCACACAAACACAAAAACCCCCAACTACACAAACACACACACACAACCAAACCCCCAAAACCACACCACCCCACAAACCCCCACAAACCACACACCCACACACCCAACAAAAACCACACAAAACACAACCCCACCAACCAAAAACCCCACACCCCCACACACCCCCACAAAAACCCCCCAAAAAAAAACCCCCAAAAAAAACACAACCAAAACCCCAAACACAAACCCCAAAACACCCCAAACACACCACACACACCACACCAAAACAACCCAAACACACCAAAACCCACAAACAAACCCCACACCCCCACACACACAAACACCACCCAAAAAACAAACACAACCCAAAAAACCACCCCCCACACAAAAAAAATACCACAACACCCAAAACAAAAACAAAAAAACCCCCTCAAAAAACAACCCAAACACATACACAAAATACACACACCACCCCACACCCACACCCCCACAAACCCACAAACCCACCACCCCCAACCCCCAAAACCCCAAAACAACACCACACACCACAAAAACACAAAAAAACACACACTTTCACCCCCACACACCCCACACCAAACCACAACAACAATAAAACAACCACAACACCCACCAAACCAACACACAAACCCAAACACAAATCCCAAACAAAAAAACCCCCCCAAAAACCCCCACACAACACCACACCCAACCCAAAACCACAAAAACACAAACAACCCAACCCCCCACCCCACAAAAACCCCACACAAAATCACACAACACAAACCACAACCCCACCAAAACAAACACAAACCCAACACACCCAAACCAAACACAACCCCCACACCCCAAAACACACACCCCCACAACCCCAAACCCCAAAAAAACACACAAAACACCAAACCCCACAAAACCCCCACACAAAAACACACCCCCTTTACACAAAAATCCACCCACACCACCCAAACACACAAACAAAACACACCCTAACCAAAAACCCCAACCCACATTTCACCCCAAACACCCCAAAAAAAACCCAAACACAAAACCCCAAACACAATCCCCAAAAAACACCCCACCCACAAACCAAAAACACACACCCCCACCACCAAAACCAAAAACAACCCCCCACACAAAAACCCCCCCAAAACACACAAAACAACCCCCAAACCACACACACACACAACCCCAAAAACCCCAACAAACACACAACCCCACATCCCCACCAAAACACAACACCACACACAACCCAACACCCAAACACACACCTCACCCAAAAACAAAAAACACCAAAACACACCCAAAAAACCCCACACACACACCCCACAAAAACACCCACACACACAACCACAAACACAACCCCAAACACACACCCCCACACAAAACCAACAACCCCAAACACACACACACAAACACCCACAACCCCAAAAAAAACACACCCACACCACACAAACACAAAAAACCAACACACAAACACAAACACACAAAAACACAAACCCAAAAACAACCAAACACAAACCCCCAAACACACAAAACACCCACACAAAACCCCAAAAAAACAATTTTTAAAACAAAAACCAACAAAAAACCATAAACCCCCCCAAAAACCATTTTTCAAAAAACCAACAAAAACCAACAAACACAAACACCCCCCCAAAAACCCCACACAAAAACCACAACAACCACCCAAAACCCCCAACCACCCCCACCAACCAACGGGAAACACCAACACCTCCCCAAAAAACCCAAAAACCCCCATCACATACAAAAAACAAACACCCAAAAGGAAACAACAAAACCAAAACCACACCCCAAAAATTAATGGTGCAAAAAAAGCTTTTCCCAAAAATGGGCAAAAAAATTTTCCCCTTATGAGGGAAAAAAATGTTCCCCTAAGTTTGGGCCAAAAAAATTTTCCCCTTTTATGAGGGCAAAAAATGCTTTTAAAACTTACCCGGGAAAAAACACCTGGCTTTACCCATTCAATGGGAAAAAACCTTTTCACGGGGGGGGCATTAAACCCGAAGTTTTCCACAAAGACCCTAAACCCCCTTCCTGAGGGCAACCAAAAATTCATGCCCCCAAACTTCCTTCAAAAAAACCCCACCAAACCCTTCCCAAATTAATGGGGACCAAAAAATGCTTTAAACCTTAACGGGACAAAACCACCCTAACCCCCAAAAAAACCCGGGACAAAAAACAAACCCCACCAAAAAAACCCATTCACCAAACATTACACGAGGACCCCAAAAACCCCTCATTACCAACCCTTACCCTGAGGGCAAACAACACCATAACCCCCAAAAAATTTAAAAAGGACAACACAACAACCCCCATTCCCCCAAACATATGATGGTGCAGATAAGAGATGTTCTGTTCTGGGATGATGGTGCAGATAAGAGATGTTCTGTTCTGGGATGATGGTGCAGATAAGAGATGTTCTGTTCTGGGATGATGGTGCAGATAAGAGATGTTCTGTTCTGGGATGATGGTGCAGATAAGAGATGTTCTGTTCTGGGATGATGGTGCTTAGTCTGTGGAGGAGAGGATCATCGTGGAACGGTTGGTGAGGGCCATGTCACGGGGGAAGAAACTTTTCAGGCGGAGGGAGGTTTTTGGTCGTGATTGACCTGAACTGTTTGCCAGAGGGGAGACTCCTGCACGCTACCTTGCGCTGGAGTCGTGCAGGACCTTGATTAAGGGAATGTGGCAGCCAATGACTCTCTCAGCAGACCGGACAATCCATTGCAGTGATGGGGGACGTGAGGATGATAGTCGTTTAGAACTGAATCAGTACACACATCATTTAAAGGAGGACTGAGGACAACACAACACCATCATTCACCAAACATTACACTGAGGACAACACAAAACCATGCATTCACCAAACATTACACTGAGGACAACACAACACCATGCATTCACCAAACATTACACTGAGGACAACACAACACCATGCATTCACCAAACATTACACTGAGGACAACACAACACCATGCATTCACCAAACATTACACTGAGGACAACACAACACCATGCATTCACCAAACATTACACTGAGGACAACAAAACACCATGCATTCACCAAACATTACAATGAGGACAACACAACACCATCATTCACCAAACATTACGCTGAGGACAACACAACACCATAACCACCAAACATTACACTGAGGACAACACAACACCATGCATTCACCAAACATTACACTGAGGACAAAACAACACCATGCATTCACCAAACATTACACTGAGGACAACACAACACCATGCATTCACCAAACATTACACTGAGGACAACACAACACCATAACCACCAAACATTACACAGAGGACAACACAACACCATAACCACCAAACATTACACTGAGGACAAAACAACACCATCATTCACCAAACATTACACTGAGGACAACACAACACCATCATTCACCAAACATTACACTGAGGACAACACCATCATTCACCAAACATTACACTGAGGACAACACAACACCATAACCACCAAACATTACACAGAGGACAACACAACACCATAACCACCAAACATTACACTGAGGACAAATCAACACCATCATTCACCAAACATTACACTGAGGACAACACCATCATTCACCAAACATTACACTGAGGACAACACAACACCATCATTCACCAAACATTACACTGAGGACAAATCAACACCATCATTCACCAAACATTACACTGAGAACAACACAACACCATGCATTCACCAAACATTACACTGAGGACAACACACCACCATCATTCACCAAACATTACACTGAGGACAACACAACACCATCATTCACCAAACATTACACTGAGGACAACACAACACCATCATTCACCAAACATTACACTGAGGACAACACAACACCATCATTCACCAAACATTACACTGAGGACAACACAACACCATGCATTCACCAAACATTACACTGAGGACAACACAAAACCATCATTCACCAAACATTACACTGAGGACAACACAACACCATGCATTCACCAAACATTACACTGAAGACAACACAACACCATCATTCACCAAACATTACGCTGAGGACAACACAACACCATAACCACCAGACATTACACCGAGGACGACTCCACCTGGTCTGACCTGTCTCCTGAGTAGAAACCTGACTCCACCTGGTCAAATGTGTTCTCTCTAAACACACTGACCCGTCTCCTGAGAACAACTGGAGTGAGAGAGAGACTGCCCACAAAATGAGGTGGAAACTGAGCTGCACTTCCTAACCTCTTGCTATATGTACAGTGGCTTGCGAAAGTATTCACCCCTCTTGGCATTTTTCCTATTTTGTTGCCTTACAACCTGGAATTTAAATTGATTTTTGGGGGGGTTTGTATCATTTGATTTACACAACATGCCTACCACTTTGAAGATGTAAAATATTTTTTTATTGTGAAACAAACAAGAAATAAGACAAGAAAACAGACAACTTGAGCGTACATAACTATTCACCCCCCCAAAGTCAATACTTTGTAGAGCCACCTTTTGGGGTATGTCTCTTGGCTGCGCAAGTTAGTAAATTAATATTATTCTAATTATTACTTTATCAAATCTCTAGTAATCGATTACACACACATAAAATTCATCATATTTTTATATATTCACCGAATCCATATAGAAAGTTAGAAATTGTTAGGTGCTCACATCAACCAATCCATTCATGTTTGTAATGATTCTCAATCAACACAAATCAAGTTCTTCAAACCTACTCCCAGCGGAACCAGAAAACACGGCCCGGCCTGTCATGGGAACCTCCCAGAAAACACTGCCCGGCCTGTCATGGGAACCTCCCAGAAAACACGCCCGGGGGACCCCAAAAACACGGCCGCCTGTCATGGGAACCTCCCAGAAAACACTGCCCGGCCCGTCATGGGAACCTCCCAGAAAACACGGCCCGGCCTGTCATGGGAACCTCCCAGAAAACACTGCCCGGCCTGTCATGGGAACCTCCCAGAAAACAAGGCCCGGCCCGTCATGGGAACCTCCCAGAAAACACTGCCCGGCCTGTCATGGGAACCTCCCAGAAAACACGGCCCGGCCTGTCATGGGAACCTCCCAGAAAACACGGCCCGGCCTGTCATGGGAACCTCCCAGAAAACACGGCCCGGCCTGTCATGGGAACCTCCCAGAAAACACGGCCCGGCCTGTCATGGGAACCTCCCAGAAAATACAGACTTTCCGCTACTTTCTAAAATAACATCCCGCTCTCAATACCACAAGGTAGCCGATTTTGTTCTATTGCCCAATTACTTAATTTCTTAAGTGACTTTTTCTCTCTACTAATTATATTTCCATTTTGCGCTCATTAAATCCCATGCTTTATACGCCTCTTTCATATAATCTAAATCCCATTTCGGGTTGCTTACTGCAGTATTGTGAATGATAAATTCTGTAACTTATCCTTCTTAAAACAACCTTCTTGAGGATACTCATTATCTGTCCATGCTGATAATCACTGAGATATGGTTCCACAGAGAAACATCCTAATTTACTTAACATCCATTCGCGCGGTGTCTGATTTCCGATAGTTTTCGTGTTTTAATAATTTAGTCATTTCCTTTCTCTCTCTTCGAGGTAAATCAGATCTGATTTATTCTTCATTGTGATTTATTCTTCATTGTGATTTATTCTTCATTGTGATTTATTCTTCATTGTGATTTATTCTTCATTGTGATTTATTCTTCATTGTGATTTATTCTTCATTGTGATTTATTCTTCATTGTGATTGTCTTGCCAGATTCTACTGAGTCGGCTCCCCATTATTTTCTATTAGTTCGTGCAATGTTAGTAATTAAATATTTGAATCAAATCCCCAACTTTATTAAAATGTTGTTTGTCTATCTAGTTATTGGTGCCATGATCCAATATGATTCATTGTAGCTGCTCGAGTCTTATACCAAGTGAGTTATTGTTTTCTCTCTCTCCTGACCGTTTTGAGTAATTCACAAAGGACTAATTCTGTACTGATGATTTACCACACCAAAGGCCTGTAACCTACCTCTTTATAATGCCTTTACACATTAAGGGATTCCTGCGCCCAATCTTTTATCCTCTGTTGTTTTTACTCATTAATCTGAACGCACACTGATTTGAATCATAGCACCATGTCATTGTCTAATTTGATATTCTTCGTACATCACTTAACATAATTGAATACCAATCATCTGTCCCCCTCAAAAATATTGAATTTGAATGTTCTTTTCAATTCAGCTTTACCCCAGATAAGCAGATTTTAACACAATCAGAAAAATTAAAGTCTGCTAACCTGTTAGTTCGGCCGTAAACTGTATCCTGTTCGTTAGACGCCAACTGTTATGATGAGTTTCTCTGGTATCAAGGAATTCAGGATACAAGAATATACTCGAACACTTACAGTTGAAGTCGGAAGTTAACATACACTTAGGTTGGAGTCATTAAAACTCGTTTTCCAACCACTCCACAAATTTCTTGTTAACAAACTATTGTTTTGGCAAGTCGGTTAGGACATCTACTTTGTGCATGACACAATACATTTTTCCAACAATTGTTTACAGACAGATTATATCACATATAATTCACTGTATCACAATTCCAGTTGGTCAGAAGTTTACATACACTAAGTTGATTCCAGAAAATGATGTCATGGCTTTAGAAGCTTCTGATAGGCTAATTAACATCATTTGAGTCAATTGGAGGTGTACCTGTGGATGTATTTCAAGGCCTATCTTCAAACTCAGTGCCTCTTTGCTTGACATCATGGGAAAATCAAAAGAAAGCAGCCAAGACCTCAGAAAAACAATTGTAGACCTCCACAAGTCTGGTTCATCCTTGGGAGCAATTTCTAAACGCCTGAAGGTACCACGTTCATCTGTACAAACAATAGTACGTAAGTATAAACACCATGGGACCATGCAGCCATCATAGCGCTCAGGAAGGAGACGCGTTCTGTCTCCCAGAGATGAACGTACTTTGGTGCGAAAAGTGCAAATCAATCCCAGAACAACAGCAAAGGACCTTGTGAATATGCTGGTGGAAACAGGTACAAAAGTATCTATATCCACAGTAAAACGAGTCCTATATCGACATAACCTGAAAGGCCACTCAGCAAGGAAGAATCCACTGCTCCAAAACCGCCATAAAACTATGGTTTGCAACTGCACATGGGGACAAAGATCGTACTTTTTGGAGAAATGTCCTCTGGTCTGATGAAACAAAAATAGAACTGTTTGGCCATAATGACCATCGTTATGTTTGGAGGAAAAAGGGGGTTGTTTGCAAGCCAAAGAACACCATCCCAACCGTGAAGCACGGGGGTGGCAGCATCATGCTGTGGGGGTGCTTTGCTGCAGGAGGGACTGGTGCACTTCACAAAATGGATGGCATCATGAAGAAGGAAAATTATGTGGATATATTGAAGCAACATCTCAAGACATCAGTCAGGAAGTTAAAGCTTGGTCGCAAATGGGTCTTCCAAATGGACAATGACCCAAGCATACTTCCAAAGTTGTGGCAAAATGGCTTAAGGACAACAGAGTCAAGGTATTGGAGTGGCCATCACAAAGCCCTGAGCTCAATCCTATAGAAAATGTGTGGGCAGAACTGAAAAAGTGTGTGCGAGCAAGGAGGCCTACAAACCTGACTCAGTTACACCAGCTGTGTCAGGAGGAATGGGCCAAAATTCACCCAACTTATTGTGGGAAGCTTGGGGAAGGCTACCCGAAACGTTTGACCCAAATTAAACAATTTAAAGGCAATGCTACCAAATACTAATTGAGTGTATGTAAACATCTGACCCACTGGGAATGTGATTAAAGAAATAAAAGCTTAAATAAATCATTCTCTCTACTATTATTCTGACATTTCACATTCTTAAAATAAAGTGGTGATCCTAACTGACCTAAGACAGGGAATTTTTACTAGGATTAAATGTCAGGAATTGTGAAAAACTGAGTTTAAATGTATTTGGCAAGGTACAGTGGGAAAAAATGTATTTAGTCAGCCACCAATTCTGCAAGTTCTCCCACTTAAAAAGATGAGAGAGGCCTGTAATTTTCATCATAGGTACACGTCAACTATGACAGACAAATTGAGGAAAAAAATCCAGAAAATCACATTGTAGGATTTTTAATGAATTTATTTGCAAATTATGGTTGAAAATAAGTATTTGGTCACCTACAAACAAGTAAGATTTCTGGCTCTCACAGACCTGTAACTTCTTCTTTAAGAGGCTCCTCTGTCCTCCACTCGTTACCTGTATTAATGGCACCTGTTTGAACTTGTTATCAATATAAAAGACACCTGTCCACAACCTCAAACAGTCACACTCCAAACTCCACTATGGCCAAGACCAAAGAGCTGTCAAAGGACACCAGAAACAAAATTGTAGACCTGCACCAGGCTGGGAAGACTGAATCTGCAATAGGTAAGCAGCTTGGTTTGAAGAAATCAACTGTGGGAGCAATTATTAGGAAATGGAAGACATACAAGACCACTGATAATCTCCCTCGATCTGGGGCTCCATGCAAGATCTCACCCCGTGGGGTCAAAATGATCACAAGAACGGTGAGCAAAAATCCCAGAACCACACAGGGGGACCTAGTGAATGACCTGCAGAGAGCTGGGACCAAAGTAACAAAGCCTACCATCAGTAACACACTACGCCGCCAGGGACTCAAATCCTGCAGTGCAAGACGTGTCCCCCTGCTTAAGCCAGTACATGTCCAGGCCTGTCTGAAGTTTGCTAGAGTGCATTTGGATGATCCAGAAGAGGATTGGGTGAATGTCATATGGTCAGATGAAACCAAAATATAACTTTTTGGTAAAAACTCAACTCGTCGTGTTTGGAGGACAAAGAATGCTGAGTTGCATCCAAAGAACACCATACCTATTGTGAAGCATGGGGGTGGAAACATCATGCTTTGGGGCTGTTTTTCTGCAAACGGACCAGGACGACTGATCCGTGTAAAGGAAAGAATGAATGGGGCCATGTATCGTGAGATTTTGAGTGAAAACCTCCTTCCATCAGCAAGGGCATTGAAGATGAAACGTGGCTGGGTCTTTCAGCATGACAATGATCCCAAACACACCGCCCGGGCAACGAAGGAGTGGCTTCGTAAGAAGCATTTCAAGGTCCTGGAGTGGCCTAGCCAGTCTCCAGATCTCAACCCCATAGAAAATATTTGGAGGGAGTTGAAAGTCCGTGTTGCCCAGCGACAGCCCCAAAACATCACTGCTCTAGAGGAGATCTGCATGGAGGAATGGGCCAAAATACCAGCAACAGTGTGTGAAAACCTTGTGAAGACTTACAGAAAACGTTTGACCTGTGTCATTGCCAACAAAGGGTATATAACAAAGTATTGAGAAACTTTTGTTATTGACCAAATACTTATTTTCCACCATAATTTGCAAATAAATACATTAAAAATCCTTCAATGTGATTTTCTGGATTTTTTTTCTCATTTTGTCTGTCATAGTTGACGTGTACCTATGATGAAAATTACAGGCCTCTCTCATCTTTTTAAGTGGGAGAACTTGCACAATTGGTGGCTGACTAAATACTTTTTTCCCCCACTGTATATGTAAACTTCCGACTTCAACTGTAGATGGAGAGTTGATACAATGTATTTAATAATACCACGGTACCGGATTCAACACAACAAGACACAAGTCAATTGCCTCTTGCTATTTGAATGATAGACATAGAGATCTCTCCGTTTCTATACTATATTGTAAACTAATTCTAGCCAACAGTTGCCAACCATTATTGGGTGTCATCTTGCACCCCAGTCAGGACATTCCATCACGTACTCATTCTAAGATTAACACCAGTGGCCCCCATCCTTCCTGGCACGCAGACTTAATGGCAATCACCAGTGACATAAATAAATGGAATGTCCTCATCCTCAAAATCCTATGTAACATGTCATATCACCACCATTTGCTTCATGCAGCGAGACTCATCTCCTTCGCATAGAGTTGATCAGGTTGTTGATTGTGGCCTGTGGAATGTTGTCCCACTCCTCTTCAATGGCTGTGTGAAGTTGCTGGATATCGGCGGGAACTGGAACACGCTGTCGTTCACAACGATCTAGATCATGGATCCAGTGACAGGCCTGGTGAATATGCAGGCCATGGAAGAACTAGGAGATTTTCAGCTTTCAGGAAATGTTTACAGATCCTTGTGACATGGGGCCGTGCATTTCATGCTGATGGCGGATGAATGGCACGACAATGGGCCTCAGGATCTCGTCAAGGAATCTCTGTGCATTCAAATTGACATCGATAAAATGCAATTGTCCTCGTTGTCTGTAGCTTATGCCTGCCCATACCATAGCCCCACCGCCACCATGGGGCACCCTGTCCACAACGTCTCAGACAATCCTACAGGTGAAGAAGATGGATGTGGAGGTCCTGGGCTGGCGTCGTGGAGGTCCTGGGCTGGCGTCGTGAAGGTCCTGGGCTGGCGTCGTGGAGGTCCTGGGCTGGCGTTGTGGAGGTCCTGGGCTGGCGTCGTTACACGTGGTCTGAGGATGTGAGGCCAGTTGGACGTACTACCAAATTCAAACTACGTTGTATGAGCATTACTTTAGAGAAATTACCATTCAACGCTCTGGCAACAGCTCTGGTGGACATTCTTGCAGTCAGCATGCCAATTGCACGCTCCCCCTCAAAACTTCAGACATCTGTGGCATTGTGTTGCACATTTTAGTGGACTTTTATTGATATAATAAATATAGTACTAGATATAGTAGATATAGTACTAGATACAGATACAGTGCTAGATATAGTAGATATAGTACTAGATACATATACAGTACTAGATGTAGTAGATATAGTACTAGATACAGATATAGTACTATATAGTAGATATAGTATATATACAGATATAGTACTAGATATAATAGACATAATACTAGATATAGTAGATATAGTATTAGATACAAATATAGTACTAGCTATAATAGATATAGCACTAGATATAGTAGATATTGTACTAAATATAGTATATATAGTACTAGATATAGTAGATATAGTACTGGATACAGATACAGTACATATATATTGTAGATATAGTACTAGATACAGATATAGTACTAGATATCGTATATATAGTACTAGATAAAGATACAATACTATATATAATAGATAGATACAGATACAGTTCTAGATATAGTTGATATAGTACTAGATACATGTATAGTACTAGTTATAGTAGATATAGTAGTAGATACTGATACAGTACTAGATATAGTAGATATAGTAGATAGATACAGTACTAGATATAGTAGATATAGTAATAGATACAGATACAGTACTATATATAATATATATAGTACTAGATACAGATATTGTACTAGATATAGTAGATATAGTACTATATACAGATATAGTACTAGGTATAGTAGATATAATAGTAGATATAAATATAGTAATATATATAATAGATATAGTACTATATACAGATATAGTTTTAGCTATAATAGATATAGTACTATATACAGATATAGTTTTAGCTATAATAGATATAGTACTAGATATAGTAGATATTGTACTAAATATAGTATATATAGTACTAGATATAGTAGATATAGTACTAGATATAGTGCATGTAGTAATAGTTAGAGTATATATAGTACTGGATACAGATACAGTACATATATAGTAGGTAGCTTAGTGGTTAAGGTGAAAAATCTGTCGATGTGCCCTTGAGCAAGGCACTTAACCCTAATAGCTCCTGTAAGTCGCTCTGGATAAGAGCGTCTGCTAAATGACAAAAAAAAAAATATATATAGTACTTGAAACAGATATATTACTCTATATAGTAGATATAGTATTAGAGATAGTAAATGTAGTACTAGTTATAGCAGATATAGTACTGGATACAGATACAGTACATATATAGTAGATATAGTACTAGATACAGATATATTACTATATATCGTATTTATAGTACTAGATAAAGATACGATACTATATATAATAGATAGATACAGATACAGTTCTAGATATAGTAGATATAGTACAAGATACAGATATAGTACTAGTTATAGTAGATATAGTACTAGATACAGATACAGTACTAGATATAGTAGATAGATACAGTACTAGATATAGTAGATACTGTACTACATAGAGATATAGTACTAGATATAGCAGATATAGTACTAAATACAGATACAGTACAAGATATAGCAGATATAGTAGTAGATACAAATATGAGATTTAGTGTATATATATATATATATATATATAGTACTCGATACAGATACAGTAATAGATATAGTAGATATAGTACTTGATACAGCTACAGTACTCTACATAGTAGATATTGTACTAGATACAGATACAGTACTAGATATAGTACTAGATATAGTAGATATAGTAAGATATAATAGATATAGTACTGAAACAGATATAGTACTAGATATAGTAGATACAGATACAGTACTAGATATAGTAGATATTGTCCTAGATACAGTACTAGATATAGTAGATATAGTACTAGATACAGTACTCCATATAGTACTAGATACAGTACTAGATATAATAGATATAGTACTAGATACAGTAGTAGATATAGTAGATGTAGTACTAGATGCAGTACTAGATATAATAGATATAGTACTAGATACAGTAGTTGATATAGTAGATATAGTACTAGATAAAGTACTAGATATAATAGATATAGTACTAGATACAGTACTAGATATAATAAATATAGTAGTAGATATAATAGATATTGTACTAGATACAGTAGTAGATATAGTAGATGTAGTACTAGATACAGTACTAGATATTTTTTATTTATTTATTTTATTTCACCTTTATTTAACCAGGTAAGCCAGTTGAGAACAAGTTCTCATTTACAACTGTGACCTGGCCAAGATAAAGCAAAGCAGTGCAATAAAAACAGATATAGTATAGTACTATATAATATATATAGTACTAGATACAGAAGTAGATATAGTAGATGTAGTACTAGATGCAGTACTAGATATAATAGATATAGTACTAGATACAGTAGTAGATATTGTACTAGATACTGTACTATATATAATAGATATAGAACTAGATACAGTACTAGATATTATAAATATAGTAGTAGATATAATAGATATTGTACTAGATACAGTAGTAGATATAGTAGATATAGTACTAGATACAGTACTAGATATAATAGATATAGTATTAGATACAGTACTAGATATAGTAGTAGTACTCTATATGTGTGTTGATTGTGTTGTGATCCTTAGGGCCCTCATGAAGAGTTGTCGCTGTGTGGAGTTAGACTGTTGGGACGGGGCCCAGGGGGAGCCAGTCATCTACCATGGCCACACCCTCACCTCCAAGGTCCTGTTTAAAGACGTCATCAAGGCCATCAAGGAGTATGCCTTCAAGGTAACCCTGACCCCTGACCCTAACCCCTGACCCCTGACCCTAACCACTGACCCTAACCCTAACCCATCAAGGAGTATGCCTTCAAGGTAACCCTAACCCCTGACCCTAACCCCTGACCCCTGACCCTAACCACTGACCCTAACCCCTAACCCCTGACCCTAACCCTAACCCATCAAGGAGTACGCCTTCAAGGTAACCCTAACCCTGGTGCTAACCCTAACCCATCAAGGAGTACGCCTTCAATGTCAGTCTAACCCTGTCCCTAACCTTATCCCCTGACCCCTGACCCTAACCCATCCAGGAGTACGCCTTCAATGTCAGTCTAACCCTGACCCTAACCTTATCCCCTGACCCCTGACCCGAACCCATCCAGGAGTACGCCTTCAATGTCAGTCTAACCCTGTCCCTAACCTTATCCCCTGACCCCTGACCCGAACCCATCAAGGAGTACGCCTTCAATGTCAGTCTAACCCTGTCCCTAACCTTATCCCCTGACCCCTGACCCTAACCCATCCAGGAGTACGCCTTCAATGTCAGTCTAACCCTGTCCCTAACCTTATCCCCTGACCCCTGACCCTAACCCATCCAGGAGTACGCCTTCAATGTCAGTCTAACTGACCATTTTGATGACCATTTTTATGTCTCTGTGTCCAGGATGAAGGAAGTTGCTAACTAGCTCTAGCAGAATTGCTAACTAGCGTTAGTGCAATGACTAGAAGTCTATGGGTATCTGCTAGCATGCTAACAGATACCCATAGACTTCCAGTCATTGCGCTAACTCTAGTTAGCATTGGCTCATGAAACTACCTATATCTTCCTTCATAATGGACACAGAGACACAAAAATGGTTTCCACAAGTTCATCTGACTCTGCTAAAATCCCAAAGTATCCCTTTAACACCTGACCCTAACCCTGACCCAACAAGGAGTACGCCTTCAAGGTGAAGTTTCACCGTAAAGTCAAACCAGCCCTGTGATCACCAGTAGAGATGGACATGACTGGTAATGATGTGTTGTTGTCCTCCTGTCCCCCAGAGATGGACATGACTGGTAATGATGTGTTGTTGTCCTCCTGTCCCCCAGAGATGGACATGACTGGTAATGATGTGTTGTTGTCCTCCTGACCCCCAGAGATGGACATGACTGGTAATGATGTGTTGTTGTCCTCCTGTCCCCCAGAGATGGACATGACTGGTAATGATGTGTTGTTGTCCTCCTGTCCCCCAGAGATGGACATGCCTGGTAATGATGTGTTGTTGTCCTCCTGACCCCCAGAGATGGACATGCCTGGTAATGATGTGTTGTTGTCCTCCTGTCCCCCAGAGATGGACATGACTGGTAATGATGTGTTGTTGTCCTCCTGTCCCCCAGAGATGGACATGACTGGTAATGATGTGTTGTTGTCCTCCTGTCCCCCAGAGATGGACATGACTGGTAATGATGTGTTGTTGTCCTCCTGTCCCCCAGACATCAGAATACCCAGTGATCCTGTCCCTGGAGAACCACTGCACCCTGGAGCAGCAGAAGCTGATGGCCCAGCACATGAGGTCCATCCTGGGCAGCGCCCTGCTCACCTCCCCCCTGGAGCACCAGATGCCCACTGCCTTCCCCTCACCCCAGGTCAGAGACTAGCAGATAATCAATCCTTCCATCCACCCATCCACCCATCCACCCATCCACCCATCCACCCATCCACCCATCCACCCATCCATCCATTTATGCTTCCTTGTTTGTTTTTCACCCCTCTGTGGGTAAAGCCTGGAGCTTCATAACCACATACCCAGTATTTGAAATCTGAGAGCTCTGAGGCAAGCCTGAACAAGTTGTGGATGTTAGACAGATGAAAGGCTCTAAGTCCTTACTGAGTGTGTGAAGGAAGAACAACAACACCTTGTTTGACTGGTTGGGATTGGATTGGGGTGTTACCAGAAGGAATGTGATTTCCCTGCTAACAGGATCTCTCTGTTAGAACCTCTGTCTATGAGGCTAACAGGATCTGTCTGTTAGAGCCTGTCTGTCTATGAGGCTAACAGGATCTGTCTGTTAGAACCTGTCTGTCTATGAGGCTAACAGGATCTGTCTGTTAGAGCCTGTCTGTCTATGAGGCTAACAGTATCTGTCTGTTAGAACCTGTCTGTCTATGAGGCTAGCAGAGCTACGGTGCTCCGTCTGTCTATGATTAACAGTATCTGTTTAAACTGGCTAAACAAAAAAGGTTGCTTGAGAAATCTATTACATTCTATGGCTACAGTATCTGGTTGTTAGACCTGTCTGTCTTAGGCTAACAGTATCTGGTTGTTGACCTTCGTCTATGATGCTAACAGTATCTGGTTGTTAGAACCTGTCTGTCTATGAGGCTCGGCAGGAATGCTACAGCTGCTCCTCATTTAATATATTAACAGATTATCATTTAATCATGGCTAACACAAAAAAGGTTGCTGGAGAAATCTAAATTAACCATTCTCTGTCTCTCTCTCTCTCTCTCTCTCTCTCTCTCTGTCTCTCTCCTCTCTCTCTCTCTCTCTCTCTCTCTGTCTCTCTTCTCTCTCTCTCTCTCTCTCTCTCTCTCTCTCTCTCTCTCTCTCTCTCTCTCTCTCTCTCTCTCTCTCTCTCTCTCTCTCTCTCTCTCTCTCTCTCTCTCTCTCTCTCAAATTCAACTATTATGTTGTTTTTATTCAGTGTCTTTCAGGCTATGGCAGGCAAATACATATTTGGCTGCAAGAGGAGCCGTTGCTCTTTCACCCATGAGTATTTTTTGTTTTTCCTCTGGGTTTAATAAGATACAATTTGGAATAAATGTATTACATTTCTGCGAATAATGAATCTCTTTGTGAGGAATATTGATCACAGTAAAGGAGAAAGTGCATCTCTGTTTCTACCTCCCCTGTCGTGCAGTGACCACATACACGCTCCTCTTTGGGTAGCCATGTCTTTTTATGTCTGCCGGTTTCTATTTCCAATTGATGGTCACTCAGCCTGTACTTGGTAAGGATCTGTCTCTACTTCGTATCTCTGACAGAGTAGAGATAATCAGCCAACTCATATTCTCTGTTAAGGGTCAGATAGCAATTTAATCGGATTTGGGATTTTGTTTTGTTTTTCCAATGTTGTAAAAATTAGTCCTTTGATTGGTTCATGATTTGGTTTATTTGGATTCTTTCTTTTGAAGCAGTGCTGGTGTCAGCTTGGTTGGTTAGGTCCAACACCAGCTGACTGAGAGGGCTCGTTTCTGGGCTCAGCTCTTGGGTTTGAAGTGCTTTAAATTGGAGACTTGAATTTGGGCTTGAAGTTAGGTGTAGCCAAACATTTTATTATATTTTTTGTATTTTCATTACCACTGGAAAGCGGCCTAATTCTGCCCTACATGACTTGTAAAATTTTCCACAGGATTCTGCATGTATGGCTTCAATTGGATATTTGTCCCACACTTTAAAGTCCAGTTTATTGAGTGGCCCCCAAATCTCACTTCCGTAAAGAGCTATTGGTAGGATTACACTGTCAAATTACGCTGTGAAATATAATTGGAATGTTGATTTTGAATCATTTCATTTTTATTGCATACAATGCTCTGCAGGCTTTTTATTTGAGTGCATTCACTGCCATATTAAAGTGTCCCGATGCAGATATGGTCAGACCAAGGTATGAGTCATTTTTTGTGTGTTCAATTATGGTGTTGTTCAAGGTGAATTTATATTTGTGTTCCTGACATCTGGGGTTTTCTGGAAAATCATGATGTTTTTATTTTTATTTTTTAATGCCAGGGCCCAATTATGGCAATATTGCTCTAGAATGTTAAGGTTCTGTTGAAGACCTTCTTTGGTTAGTGATAGAAGAACCAAGTCATCAGCATATAGCAGGTATTTTACCTCTGTGTCAAATAGTGTGAGTCCTGGAGCTACAGAATGGTCCAACATGTCTGCTAATTCATTGATATAAATGTTGATTAGATTTGGACTCAAACTGCAGCCGTGTCTCACACCTCGACGTTGCGAAAATGTTGCACACTTGTTTTCTGTGTTGATACATTTTATTAAGTCATACACCTTACCACTAAGCCCACTTTGGAGAATTCTGAAGAATAGACCTTCATGCCAAATAGAATAGAATGCTTTTTTAAAGTCAATAAAGCAAGCAAAGAGTTTGCCCTCTTTTATTTGGTGGACGTGTTTATTAATTAGTGTATTTATGGTCAGTAGTGCGGTGGTTGGGGAGAAAGCCAATTTGACATTAACTTATTACATTTTCTCTTGAAGAAAGTTTTGGATTCTTGAATTCAAAATGCTACAGAAAACCTTTCCCAAGTTGCTGTTTACTCAAATTCCCCTGTAATTACTGGGGTCTGATTTGTCTCCACTGTTGTGGATAGGGGAGATGAGCCCCTGGTTCCAGACATCAGGAAAGCAGCCAGACGTTAGTACCATGTTGAACAATTTAAGCACAGCATTTTGCAACTCAGGTGTGCTGTTTTTCAGCATTTAATTTCTGATGTTATCTAGACCACAAGCCTTCTTTAGTTTTATAGAGTTGAGCTATTCATGTAGTTCTTGTTGGGTTGTTGGGTAATCTAATGGATTTAGGTTGTTTTTAATGACTGATTCAAGGATGTTACATTTTTCTTGAATTTCTAATAGGTTATGTTGTAAGTATTTTTGTGGGATATTTTTGTATAGATTTTCAAAATATGTTTTTCAAATTCCTTCATCTTGTATGGCTCATTATTCCACATTTCCCAGAATTGATTTTGGTCAATTGCATTTTCAATTTCATTAAGTGTCTTATTGGTATAATTCAATTTCTTGCGTTTCAGTGTATGTTTATACTGTTTCAGAGTTTCATAGTATTCATAGCACAGCTCTGGGTTGTTTTGCTGCTTATGTTTTTCATTTGACATTTGTCTTAGGTGTTTTCTAATTGTTTTACATTCATTATCAAACCATTTTTCAGAAACATTTTGTGTTTTGTTTTTGATGTTGTATTTCTTTGGTTTTCTCAAATTTGCTTTTGATGCTGCTTTTTGGAAAATGCAATTGATGTTTTGAGGAGCCGAATTGACACCTTCTTTATTGTTTTGGTATTGTGAGTTATTGAAGACCTGTATAGAGTTCATCATTTCATTTGAGTTCAATGTTTCAATGAATTTCTCTACACTGTTTGGAGCCCATCTGTACAATTGGTTCATGTTGTAGAGTTTATTCGGCTGTTTTTTTGAATGAGTATTGCTGGTTAATTTCTTCAGAAACACGTTAATCTGACTGTGATCTGACAATGGTGTCTGTGGTCTGACAGTGAATGCACTAATGGAGGAGGGGTCCATGTCAGTGATGGCATAATCGACTACACTTGTCCCAAGAGCTGAGCAGTAAGTAAACTGACCTAAAGAGTCCCCTCTGATTCTACCATTAAGCATGTATAGGCCTAAGGCTTGACAGAGACGCACTAACTCCTTCCTGTTTTTGTTCAGTATTTGGTCAGGACTGTTTCTATTATTTATAATAGGGCTACTGTACAAGGAGGGGTGTCCCAATATGTGGTGGTTACCTCCCGCATCAGTGTAGTCAGGCTCAGAACCTGTTCTCACATTGAAATCTCCACAAAGAAGCACTTTACTCTCCGCCTGAAATTGAAGGATTTCTGTATGGAGATTGTCAAAAAACGGATCATCATAATATGATGAATCTGAAGGAGGAGCATAAGCTGCACATATGTATACATAATTGTCACAATAGATTGTACCTTTGTTAAGTTTTAGCCAAATGTGATTAGTACCTTTTTTCATTTAATTCAGTGCTAAGTCCTGCTTACGCCAAATTATGATTCCTCCTGAGTCTCGGCCCCGTTAATTTTTTTTATGTTTGATTGATGGTAGTAAACTTTCTCTATAGCCTGAGGGACACTGAGTATCAATGTCTCCACGACACCATGTTTCCAGTAGGATTATGACGTCCTGTCCCTTGATGTTTTTAAGAAATTCTGGATTTGTTGTTTTATAACCAAAATGTGAAGAGTACAGGCCCTGGATATTCCAAGAGCTGATAGTTAATGATCTCATTTATAATAAGTGATATTCACTGGTTTGACTAAAGTACATTGAAATAAAAAAAAGAATATTATTAATTTTTTTAACAGAAATGGGAATAAATATATAAATGAATATATATACACTACCGGTCAAAAGTTTTAGAACACCTACTCATTCAAGGATTTTTCTTTATTTTTACTATTTTCTACATTGTAGAATAATAGTGAAGACATCGAAACTATGAAATAACACATATGGAATCATGCAGTAACCCAAAATTTGTTAAACAAATCAAAATATATTTTATATTTGAGATTCTTCAAATAGGTACCCTTTGACCTGATGACAGCAGATGTTATCGGAGGTCATCATTTGTCTGACTCAGTTTGTCCATTCTGCTTTCTAATTTAGCAATAGATGCTCCGCTCTCCTCTCTATGTCATCTCTTCTTTTAGTTTCTGGACAGTGTCATCCTCTTGAAGCTTGTTCTCTCTGAGTTCTATGACCTCTGCTTCAACTAGAGAGAGGGTGTTGTGGAAACGTTGCATAGCAGGTGTTCTTGGTGTTGTAGGCATGTCCTTGGCTCTGTCTGCTGCAGGTGAGGTAGGTAGAGGGACACGGAGGGCTTCTTGCTGGGTCACAGAGACCGTTGGGGGTGATGGGGCTCTTGTTCTCCTACATTATAGCAGGTATGCTCTCTCTCACTCTCTCTCTCTCTCTCTCTCTCTCTCTCTCTCTCTCTCTCTCTCTCTCTCTCTCTCTCTCTCTCTCTCTCTCTCTCTCTCTCTCTCTCTCTATCTCTCTCTCTCTCTCTCTCTCTCTCTCTCTCTCTCTCTCTCTCTCTCTCTCTCTCTCTCTCTCTCTCTCTCTATCTCTCTGTCTGTCTCTCTCAATTCAATTCAAAGGGCTTTATTGGCATCAGAAACATATGTTTACATTGCCAAAGCAAGTGAAATAGATAATAAACAATCCAATATTAACAGTAAACATTACACTCACAAAAGTTCCAAAAGAATAATGACATTTCAAATGTCATATTATGGCTATATACAGTGTTGTAATGATGTGCAAATAGTTAAAGTACAAAAGGGAATCTTGCTGCTGTGATGGCACACTGTGGTATTTCACCCAATAGATATGTCAGTTTATCAAAATTTGATTTGTTTTCAAATTCTTTGTGGGTCTGTGTAATCTGAGGGAAACATGTGTCTCTATAGTCATACAATTGGCAGGAGGTTAGGAAGTGCAGCTCAGTTTCCCCCTCTCACCCGCAGAGGGGGGGAGGATGGAACTGGTGGGGGATTGACACGTCACTCCCTGTTGTAAACCAAGGAGAGAAGATTCAGGTCTCCCTCTCCAATGTTCACCAGAAGAATGTGCAGTTTCCACAGACTTTTCCCACTGAAACTCGAACACGTTCTAAAGCGAATACTGGAACAATATTTCTAACATAGAACGTGGGGAATGGTCAGAGGCGATCTATAGAAAACTACTGTCAATTGGGTTGTTATTTTGTGATGTCATTAAAAATGTTATAAAGGAAATACTGTAACTTGGAAAGTATACCCCCTATATTTGCGAAGGTTCCATACGATGCGTTGTAAAATGAAAAATGATTGAAGTATTTTTGTTAAGAGACGGATGTGATTTTAGGAGCCATAAGAGGTAATTGTTTTACATGAACTTTGCACAGTGACAAGTCACGCCCCGTCAGAGAGCGTGTCAGCCTGACGGAACCGCCCTTTTGAACAAACTGTATCAGACCAGATAACGTGAAAGCGGCAACTACTCGTTTAAAATGGTTGGAACGAGGTGGAGAGAATACACTAACCACTAACCTCCCAGACAGTCACTGGTACGGCTGGTTAGCCTCTCATCACCCCACTGGGGAACCATCGATACGGCTGGCTAGCCTATCTTCAAAGAAGCAACCTCTCATCACCCCACTGGGGAACCATCGATATGGCTGGCTAGCCTATCTTCAAAGAAGCAACTTCAAGAGTGACGGGAAGACAAATCCATTCTGTAGTTCTGTTCAAGACCACATGACAAATCACTGGATACCGGACAACTACAGAGGAGAACAACAGTAGAAGACTTGTTGGAACTTTTTTGGACAATCAGAGCCTTACAAGCGTGCCGCGAGAAGGCCCAACTCCCTTTCCAGGGTGGTCCTGTCCACCGAGAGATACACGGCGAACCAGACATTTCACGTAAATACATTCATGATTTCTTACTCAAAGCGGGCGGCGGTAAAACGGCAGCCATCTTCTCCGGCGCTGTTCAAATCACGACACTGTTTAGTGCAAAATAGCATTCTAGTTTGCTCAGTATCTTTGTTAATTCTTTCCAATGTGTCATGTCACTATCTTTTTGTTTTCTCATCATTTGGTTGAGTCTAATTGTGTTGCTGTTGTTGTCCTGGGTTTCTGTGGGGTCTGTCTGTGTTTGTGAACAGAGCCCCAGAACTAGCAGTCTGAGGGGACTCTTCTCTAGGTTCATCCCCTTGCAGGTTAGGGCTTTGTGATGGAAGGTTTGGGCATCGCTTTCCTTTAGGTGGTTGTGGAATTGAATGGCTCTTTTCTGGATTTTGATCATTAGTGGGTATAGTCCTAATTCTGCTCTGCATGCATTGTTTGGGGTTTTGCGTTGTACTCTGAGGATATTTTAGCAGAATTCTGGATGCAGAGTCTCAATTGGGTGTTTGTCCCATTTTGTGAATTCTTGGTTGGTGGGCGGACCCCAGACCTCACAACCATACAGATCAATGGGTTCTATAACTCATTGGAATATTTTTAGCCAGATCTTAATTGGGATGTTATTTTTTTCTTTTGATGGTGTAGAAGGCCCTTCTTGCCTTGTCTCTCAGATCGTTCACAGCCGTGTGGAAGTTACCTGTGTTGCTGATGTTTCAACAAGCTCTCACAGTGTCAAGTCAGAATTAGACGTTCATCCATGTTTCTCAAATGTCAAATTTCATAGTTCTTCCAAACGTCAAATTTCAAAAGTTCTTCCAAACGTCAAATTTCAAAGTTCTTCCAAACGTCAAATTTCAAAGTTCTTCCAAACGTCAAATTTCAAAGTTCTTCCAAACGTCAAATTTCAAAGTTCTTCCAAACGTAAATGTCAAAGTTCTTCCAAATGTCAAATTTCGAAGTTCTTCCAAACGTCAAATTTCATTGTTTGGTTACTTCTCTGTATTGTTCCAATATAAAGTTTACGCATTAACTCCAAATTCTTAAGTTTACGCATTAACTCCAAATTCTTAAGGTAAGGCATTATCTCAGAATGGTTAAGGTAAGGCATTAATTCTGAATGGTTAAGGTAAGGATTAAGGTTTAGGATAGGCATAAAAAAATTATGGTGACTACCTCATGAAGCTGGTTGAGAGAATACCAAGAGTGTGCAAAGCTGTCATCAAGGCAAAAGGTGGCTACTTTGAAGAATCTCAAATATAAAATATATTTTGATTTTGTTGAACACTTTTTTGGTTACAACATGATTCCATATGTGTTATTTTATAGTTTTGATGTCTTCACTATTATTCTACAATGTAGAAAATAGTAAAAAATAAAGAAAAACCCTTGAATGAGTAGGTGTGTCCAAACCTTTGACTAGTTCTGTATATATATGTATGTGATGGGATGTATAGACATTATGGACAGTATGTGGATAGAATATGTAGTATATCTGTAGAATACGTAGGATAGAATAGCATATATACAGCAGTAGTTAAATAGGATGAACCATGACTAGAATACAGTATATACATATGGAGTGGACAGCAGTAGTTATATAGGATGAACCATGACTAGAATACAGTATATACATATGAAGAAGACAGCAGTAGTTATATAGGATGAACCATGACTAGAATACAGTATATACATATGGAGCGGACAGCAGTAGTTATATAGGATGAACCATGACTAGAATACAGTATATACATATGAAGAGGACAGCAGTAGTTATATAGGATGAACCATGACTAGAATACAGTATATACATATGAAGTGGACAGCAGTAGTTATATAGGATGAACCATGACTAGAATACAGTATATACATATGAAGAGGACAGCAGTAGTTATATAGGATGAACCATGACTAGAATACAGTATATACATATGAAGAGGACAGCAGTAGTTATATAGGATGAACCATGACTAGAATACAGTATATACATATGAAATGGGTAAAACAGTCTGTAAACATTATTAAAGTGACTAGGTTTCCATTATGAAAGTGACCAGTGATTCCATGTCTATGTACATAGTGCAGCTTCCTCTAAGGTGCAGAGTTGAGTATCCGGGTGGTAGCCGGCTAGTGCCAGTGACTAAATTCAGGGCAGCTTTGATGCACCTGTACTGACCTCGCCTTTGGATGATTGCGGGGTGAACAGGCCATGGCTCGGGTGGCTGAGGTTCTTGATGATCTTCTTGGGTCTTTCTGTGACACCGGGTGGGTGCTGTAAATGTCCTGGAGGGCAGGCAGTGTGCCCCCAGTGATGCGTTGGTTAGACCGCACCACCCTCTGGAGAGCCCTGCAGTTGCGAACGGTGCCATGGATAGATGCTTCTCCCTCTCTGTCACGGATGCCATGGTTGCCCTTATTTGAAGATGTAATCCGGAGACAGGTGTTTTATACAACAGCCTTCTGTGTGTTCTCTTTTCGACTCCGTCTGCATATTTGCAATCAAACGCCAGAATTTTCTCCAACTCCTTAGCTATCATACTTTAATTCCACCGGGCATTCCACTGATTTCAAAACTAGGTCCTCCAGAAAGTGGAGAGCATCACTTATGCAGTTCTACTATGTGATATCTTTAAAAAAAAGCAGCGTTAGAAAGGATTACCTACACATACTGACCAGCTCATGTTATAGACAGAAGCGTTCTACATGGCAGACCAATCTGAACTCATCCTCGGTATGTCCAGCCCATCCATTATCTCAGCCAATCATGGCTAGCGGGATGGTTCCTGTCTTTTTCCGTGGCTAAACCAACTAGGCTCATAATTTAACAACTGTATTCGTATTCACAGATGGCATACAAGTTTGTTATTAAGGCACATGAAAGTTCACATGTTCCAGAAGGCATTTCTGCCAAAAAGCATTTTGATTTTAAAAAAAGGTTTATGTTCAAATATGCTCTCCTGTGAAGTAGTGACGCACGACATAAGCCTTGTTTCCTGAAACGAGTCACATTTGTATTTGTATTTATTATGGATCCCCATAAGCTCCTGCCAAGGCAGCAGCTACTCTTCCTGGGGTTTATTATGGATCCCCGTTAGTTCCTGCCAAGGCAGCAGCTACTCTTCCTGGGGTTTATTATGGATCCCCATTAGTTCCTGCCAAGGCAGCAGCTACTCTTCCTGGGGTTTATTATGGATCCCCATTAGTTCCTGCCAAGGCAGCAGCTACTCTTCCTGGGGTTTATTATGGATCCTCATTAGTTCCTGCCAAGGCAGCAGCTACTCTTCCTGGGGTTTATTATGGATCCCCATTAGTTCCTGCCAAGGCAG